TCAAAAACCAATTACTTAGGGGTGACCGCGGTTCCGGTTCCGATTGGAACCGTAGGTTCTAAACGGATTTATTTAAAAAAAAAAAAAAAACACTATAATTTTTAATTTTTTTTCGGTTTGGAACCGGAACTGCCGGTTCCAGTTCATTTTCATCTTGAACCTTAACCGGGACTATATTGGTTCCGGTTAGGAACCGGAACCGGAACCGGAACCGTACAGACGATTCGGTTCCGGTTCCGGTTCAACAGTGCACAGTTCGGTTCGAACCAAACCGAACCGTGGTCACCCCTACAATTACTGACCTGTGACCGGTCAACATTCCGACCACCTCCGGCGACATTTCTGGCAACAAATCAAGACTGAAGACATCTCTACGGTCCCCTGTCTCAATTTGTTATCGAAAATGTCACCCAAGTTAGCTGGATGTGGTCGGAATGTTGACCGGAACCATAGTAACTTGTGATAGCAGATCACTAATCGATTTTTGGTATTCATTACACCAAAATAAGATGTTGATGGGTTTAATTGCAACTTTAAAAAGTTTATACACCTAATTTACTTTTTAGATAAAGTTGAAAGGCATATTTGAACCTTTTCTCTAAATCTTGAGGGTTAATTCGTGACACTACCTAACCACATAAATTCCTTGTCAAGAATCCAACAATAAAATGCCTTCTCAATCTAACGAGGGAATCAAGTCGATTTTGAGTCTCATTAGACTCATTATTTTATTCATTGTATCAATAATAATAATAATAATAATAATAATAATAATAATAATAATAATAATAATAATAATAATAATAATAATAATAATAATAATAATAATAATATTGAGCAATATTTTATATTCATAGTCAAATGAAAGTAGTATAAGTAGAAGAATATGCACCCAAATACCTTTTGGGGTACGCAAAACAAGCAAGCTAAGAAAACACACGCAGACGATCAAACATGACGGCCGGTTCCCCCGCGGCGGCGACTGGGAGGAAAGCTGCCGCGGCTGGAAAGCAGTCGTCATTGCCGGGGACGAAATGCCCGGCACCGTTTCTGACAAAAACGTACGATATATTGGAGGAGGAAGACGAGAAAAGAAGAAGGGATGAAAAGGCGGCGGCGGTAGTGTCGTGGAACGCTCACGGCGACGGTTTCGTGGTCTGGTCTCCGACCGAGTTCTCCGACCACATGTTGCCTAGGTATTTCAAGCACAACAACTTCTCCAGCTTTGTTCGACAGCTTAATACCTATGTTAGTCTCTCTCTCTCTCTCTCTCTCAAAACCATGCAAGATTATTGCAAAGCCATCGATTCATTTAATTTCATGCAAATTAATTAAAATATTAAATAACTTTTTTAGTTTTTAATTACCATCGTTACAATTAAAATTAATGATCAATTGTTCGAATCACTCTCTCAAATGCATTTTAATTAAGATGGCATAGTATAAAGAAAGTATATTTTAAAAAAAATAAAATAAAAATCAGAAAATCATAGGACGTTGTCCACAGTCAAATTAATCACGCCTTGATGCCCTAGAAAAGCATGCAATCAGATATTTCAATTGACTATGCATTTGAATACTCTAGCGTTCAAATATTTGAAATTCTCATTTTCTAAAAAGAATAAAATAAAATAATGGAGGTGTTTGGTAAATGGTGGTTAGCTGATAACTGTTAGTTGATTGGGTTAGTGAGTTTAACTAGTTGATATCATTAACTGATTGTAGAAAAATGTTTGGTAACTTAGCTGTTAGCTGTTAATTAATTAGATGATTACATACAAAATGAATTTCTTAAAAAGCTAATCGAAAAAGCTACTTTGGTAGAGCTGTGTCGTGATGCAAGAACGAGAAATTGGGAGATAACTTTCACTCAAGCTCCTAGGGAACAAAATAACACAACGGACACTATGACATATCAAGCGTTACGTTCTATCAAGACGCTGACTTCAGATGGTTTGAAAGGCCACCCAGAACCATTCAGAGATTCCTCTGGGAAGACGAGCTTGGCCTTCTTGGCGAGAGAAATATTGTGAGGGTCGCCTAACGACCCACGGGTGTTCCCCCTCTTTCCCAAAAAAAAAAAAAAAAAAAAAAAAAAAAATAGAAGCTACTTTGAATAACTTTTTGAATTTTAGCATTTTGGAGTAATAATAAGTTGTTACACAAAGCTAATTAATTAAACACTCATATTGATTGTTTAACCAAATCAAACAGCTAATAGTGGTTAAATAAGTCAAAATTGACTGTTATGCTAACTATTTTACCAAACCCGGCCAATATCTTGTTTGAAATTGGTAAATGATGTAAAATCATGAAATATACCTCAATTGACATGCACGTCCTAAATATTTGTATATTAGTGCGACAACAATGTCAAATTCATATATATATATATATATATATATATATATATATATATATGAAATTGAATCAATTTAAAATAAGTTTATAAGAACAGAAGGGTGCAATGTTCGAATCCTACCAAGAACAGAAGTATATATATATATATATATATATATATATTTCTGTTCTTGGTAGGATTCGAACATTGCACCCTACTTATAAACTTATTTTAAATTGATTCAATTGAGTTGTGTGTGGCCAATTATTTCTTGTTTGTTGAATGAATGGAGTGGGTATTGTCTGACGAAGTTTCCATCTCCTCTCTCTCTCTCTATATATATATAGGGATTCAAGAAGGTGACACCAAAAAGATGGGAATTCCAGCATGAGAAGTTCCAGAGAGGAAGGAGGCATCTGCTGGTTGGGATAGCCAGGAAGAAGGCAGAGCCCAGTGCCTTTCCTGCTTACCTAAGAGCCAACTATGAAGAAGAAGAAGACACAATAACATCATCAACAACAACAACATTGTTGTCATCTTCAAGGTTGCTGCTAATGAATCTGTTGGAGGATAACAAGAAGCTGAGGAAGGAGAGAATGGAGCTTCAGATGCAAATTGCTCACTACAAGACTCTTCAAATGAGGCTGTTGGAATGCCTTAGTTCTCAGTGTATGGGCAGTCAACAATAGCTGCATGGTCACATGAATATATATAGTGTTTAATAAAATTGAATCTGTTCGATCTCTCGGGGCATAGTTCAGTGGTGTAATAGTCAATCAAAGTGAGATAAGTACTTTTAACCACACTAACAATGGTAAGGTGAAAGCCAAGTTCACTTAGCTTTTGGTCCTTGTCTCACTGAGATACATTTGGAGATTTATTTCGTTCTAGGGGTGGAGTTAACCGGCCTTTTAATAAAATCAAATCTCTTGTGTGGATGAAAGACAATTTTTTAGTTTAATTAACTATAAACAAAAAAACAAAAGGAAAAAGTTTTTCAGTTTCAATAGTTGTCCGGTAATAAAAATCAATTGGAGATGGCGTATGGTTAGTCGCCATCGCCGTGGCGACCAGTTGTAGGAGATGGCCACGTCTTCTCCAGCGACGGCTTAGTCTCTATTGTCTATTTATTGCCGTACAACTTTCAGAATTTTAGTAACATGGTATTACAAGTCACTTTCTGCCTTGAAGCTTCTTCGAAGCATTCCAAACAATCCTTAACAATGGCATGTTTATGTATCTAGTTATAACTTTAAAAGGTTTAAGAACCTAATTGACTTTTCTAGTAAAGTTCGAGAATTTATTTGATCATTTTCCCGTTGATCTAATATATAATAATTGATAAAAAAAAAATATTAAATCTTTCATTCTTTGCTTTTTTCTATTAGCATTTTATTATAATTTTAAATTTATTGTTTTTATTTTTATTTTTTTGAAAGCTATTGACTCTATTATATTGTAGTTCATATGAAGCACAAAGAGTCAACCCTGCCTCCATTGAGACTGATCTCATGACCTCCCATATAGAAGAGTCACTACATGCCATTCAGTTTCTAAATATATAAATTTTGCATACTAATTTTAAACTTAATATTATGAAAAATTAAATCTTTTAACTATAATAAAGCTATATGGTTTGGGAAATAATTAATGTTACAATTAATGCCACAACATCCTTTATTATATATATATATATATATATATATATATATATATATATATATATATATATATATATATATATATAAAAGCACAACATTTGAAAAATAAAATAGCTATATATATTATATAATCATATAAAAAATGTACTTTTGAAAAATAAAATAGCTATATATTATATAATCATATAAAAAATGTGTTCAATTAGTGTTTAAATTTACTCATACAAAATTTGAAATTTTCTTTCCAAATGTAATTATCTTAGTTATTATTTTTATTGTGAAAATTATAATATAGATGAAATACAATTAAGAATAAATCAATGGAATTATGTAAATTTCTCTATAAGTTTATTTTAATATGCACATAATTAGAGATTATATTAACCATACAAAATTTTAATTTTAATTTTAATTGTAATTTTGTATTCTATAAAAATAATAAATACTTGACCAATGAAAGCTCAAAAATATTATTATATTAAACAATTTAAAATATTTTAGTTTTTCTATTTTTATTTATATTTATAATAACATAATTTTTTTTCGTGCATCGCGCGGGTGAATTACTAGTTATTTTAAATAACTACAGTCAAGTCTCGTTAACTGAACCCGACACATAAAATGAGATAGAGAAAGTATATTTTAACTTCTTTTCTTTAAACCAATGAAATACTTTCAATTAAACACTGAAAAATGAGAAATACAATCGGGTAAATGGAGAAGAAACACACAAATCTAAATGAGAAATACCATCGGATAAATAGAGAAGAAACCCACAAATCTAAGACAGATATAAAATCAATTACTCGTAAAAAAACATAAACCACTTGATTCAGTGACCTATGAATATGTCGAACCCTATCGTTCTCAACATTACTAGCAATAATTTGAGAAATATACTCATCCCACTTGAGGTATACCAAGTTACCAACTCATCCCGTCAACGCATTACCTTGACCACTTTAAGAAAAATCCTTAAACCCTCGTCAAGAGTCAATGCCGCCAAAATCTCCTAACTCATTTCATGATTTCATCACTTCACTTCTCGCTGAGCTCAAAATCCGAAATCAGTTCGAAAATGCGAACCCTAATTCGGGTCAACACGACGACATTGATAGCCGGAATCCGATCGTACTGCACGAACGGGGGGAAGAAGGCGAGTCTGTATTCCAAGATCAGCCCACTGGGAAACCCTACAACCAGCATAACCCCTGAGCTCGATGAATGGGTCCGACAAGGCAAGAAGCTCCGATTCGCAGAGCTTCAGCGCATCACTCTCGATCTCCGCAAGCACAAGCGTTTCTCTCAAGCTCTTGAGGTACACACGCTGTGTATATGCTCTCATTTTGATCGGTGTATATATGTATATACGTATTTGTGAATGTATATATGCAGATGCAATTTCACTTTATGTGTATTGATATCAAAACAGAGATAATGATCTTCGAGCGATCTGAGCTTAGTTGGTATGGTGCTGTACTGTATGCATTTTATGAGTTGGTTTGAAAGTTGGATAAATGCTACTCTGCATTAGCTTGCTTCAGAATAATTTTATGCTAGAAGTTATTCTTCAACTTAATGATATTTTTATTTAAATTTCTAATTCCAAGCTGGTTATATAAAGGAGGATAATGTTTCGGCATTTTCTTGATGAAGCTCTCTATTTCATTATACAGATTTCTGTTTTCCTGATATTTCTGCAACTTCTCTAATGGTTACTCAAGTTAAACTGAGAAGCTTGAATTTCTTATTATGATAATCTCTTCTTTACGACCTGTGAATAAGATTACATCAAAGTGATAAAGTTATGATATGTTAAACACAATTTTGTTTGGTAGTTATTAGGCAATAGGAAGGCTGTTTTAATCACATTCCTATTAATGTGCATTGTTAAGCAGGTTCTTGAGTGGATGAAAAGGAATGATGCGATCAGATTCACCACAACCGAGCATGCAATGCGTTTGGATCTTATTGGTAAGGTTCATGGGTTTCTCTCTGCTGAAGAATATTTCAATAGTTTGAGTGAAGAAGATAAGAATGAAAAGACATATGGCGCGTTATTGCATTGTTATGCCCGGCAGCTCCAAATTGACAAGGCATTACTCCATTTGCAGAAAATGAAAGAGGAAGGTCTTAATTTAACTTCAGGTGTTTTCAATGACGTCATGGGGCTTTACACAAGAATTGGGCAGCATGAAAAAGTTCCTGAAGTGCTTGACAATATGAAGAAAAATGGTATATACCCTGATAATTTGAGTTACAGAACCTGTATCAATTCATTTGGGGAAAGGTCAGATATTGATGGAATGGAAAAAGTTTTAAATGAAATGGAAAACCAAACCCATCTTGTCATGGACTGGAATACGTATGCTGCCATAGCAAATATCTATTTTAAGGCAGGCCTGATAATGAAAGCAAATGTTATGCTTGTGAAAGCAGAGGAGAAGTTGGATAGCAAAAATCGAGATGGATATAATTTTCTGATTTCATTACATGCTAAGCTGGGAAACAGGGCGCATGTCCTTAGATTATGGGATGCTGCAAAGAATACTTGCAAGAGATGTGTAAATCAGGATTACATAAATATGCTGACGTCTCTAGTAAAACTTGATGAGCTCGAACAAGCACAGAAACTGCTTCTAGAGTGGGAAACATCTGGGAACTACTATGACCTTCGAGTACCATGCGCAGTTATTACCAGCTATATTGACAAGGGATTACATGCAAATGCTGAAAATATGCTTAAAGATTTAAGAAGTAAAGGGAAAATAGCATCACCAAGTATATGGGTCAGAGTTGCGGAAGGCTACCTGGGTGAAGGTGAGTTGGAGAGAGCCTTGGCCTGTATGACAGTTGCTTTGTCTTTGCAAGAGAATGAAGGATCGAAACCTAATGCTAAGGTTGTTATGAGAATAATAAGTTCATTAGGTGAGAAGTGTAGCTTGAAAGAAGCTGAAGCATTTATAAGTTTGCTGAAAAGATTTATGACATTGAACAGACAGATGTACCATGTACTGCTCAAGTCATATGTGGCTAGGGGCAAAGATGTAGATGGACTTCTGAACAGCATGAGAGCTGAGAATATAGATGAAGATGATGAAACAAAGATGATCCTTAAAATGAGTCATGTCAGAAGTTGAACAGTAAGTAAACTTGCATTATAAATAAAACTTTCTTAATGCTTCTTTTTCAATCTTTTTAATTTGGTATATGCATATCATATATTCTTTTGGCATTATACCAATAACAGTTGTTTATCCAAATTCATTAAGAAGTTCGCACTTATAGCATTACCTACTATTAACCAATTACAGTAGTCCTCAAACTTGTGGGACTAAAAAGTAAAAACCTTCAGGGATGGAACTAATATAACACACTTGAAAAATGTCTTTGGTGAGCCTTAAACCCTTAGTTGAATGGGGCCGTCCAAGAGGTATTTGGCCATTTTCAGGTTATTAGGTCTACTTTCTATGTAGCTCCATGCAAGTTTCATATTGCTTTATTCCACCACCAAACTAGTTAATCCTGCCCATTCATATATAATGAATGAAAAATTTCTAGCTATTTTGAATTCACTGACAAGTGTCCCATTGCATGCATTTGCTTGGAAGTGCTTAATTCCAGCATCAAACAATTGAAAGCCCACTCCCATTCGAAATGAATGAGACCTCTCCTACCATTCAGAGCTCACTAACGAACATCCCATGCATGCATTAATCTTGGAAGCTTTCTATAATCTATATATAGCCCTCTGATGTCCTTCCCTTGAATTTATCATCTGATCTGATCTGATCTGATCTTCAGCTAAAACTGAAAATGGCATCTCCACACTTTGCTTGAATTGCTCTGATCATGGTTTTACTAATTTCATCATCATCCCTTTTCTCAGCAGGCCCAATCCTACTGCCTAGATGCCTACTTCTCCCGAAAGATCAGATGGAGACAATAACGGTCATCCCAATATTCATATCTTGAACAGCTGGGAAGAGGAGTTCCTATTGGAACAAAACTTTTACACTACTTCCTGAAGGAATTGAAGGAAAATGCAACAGAATTTTGTTGTGGGTGGGGGTGGGAGGATTCAATGGGAGAAAATGCAAGAAGAAAGACATGAAAAGCAAATGAGTGAACCTGTGATGCCTTCACCCAACTACCTACCTTTGCCACATATGTTGGCTGGTAAACTGTCTCTACCTCCATCAGTAATTTCCTTGCAAGTTCATGATCAAAATAACTTATTGTTGTGATTCTTAATGGGAGCAACTTATTGGCTTTCTTAGTTTGAATCGGTCAGTTATGGATAATCTAGGTTAGTTTACTTGTTATTCTTTGTAGGCTAGGGTCACAAGACTGAGTTTACTCAAGTGTACACTCTCGGGTAATGACTACAGGACATGTTTCCTTGTCACCCAACAAATATTTTAAATTGGTGTACACATTTATCTCTACCAATTGTTGTAATCATTATACGAGAAACAAAGTTAACAGACCAAGTGAACTTAGGACATACATAATACAATTTTCTTTCTCCCCACAAGTTTCATGCTGCTTCATTCCAAAATCGTGCCCACCCTGCCCATTCAACAATAGATGTAAATTTCAATCTTTCCTACTTTATTTCCTTAAAAAAATTTATATAAATCATCACATGCATGCATCTAATCTTGAACATATATGCAGATGTGTATGTGTGTGTATATATATACTCCTGTCTCATTTTTGCTTGTCCTATTTGCTATTCATTGGCTAAATCAATTCTTTTTTTATTACTTATTTTTTTTTAATAATTTTTAAATTTAATTTGTTTTTCTTTTTGTTTAATAGTACTTTAATATAGTTTCTAAATATATAAATTTTATATACTAATATTAAATTTAATATTATAAAAAATTGAACATATTAATGGTAACTAAAAAAGGACCATATTTTTAAAACGAGAATAATTGAAAAACATGAGCATGACAAGATAAGCTTAAAAGCAGACATACAAATTTCTGATAGAAGATAGCATTGAAAACACAATTCAAGGATTCACTTCCATCAGAATCAGATGTTGTTGTTGTTATTACACACGATCATCATATAAACATCGGATTGCTTTGCTTAATCAAAGCCTCAAAACCTAAACCTTAAAAACGCAGATTACTACTCGATCTCAGTCTCCCTCAACGACGGCCGCATCAGCCCAGTTGGAAGCGCTACCCCTGCGCGGAATGCTATGGAGTCTGGTGTAGAAATCCACCTGGAAAATAACGGCGTCGGTTTTGCCTCCGTCGTCCTCGCGCACCATCGCCTTAACCTTGTGCAGCGGATGATCAAAGCTGGTTAGCCCGCTGCCGCTGATGAAAATGCACCCTGCAACAACAGTTCAAATTGAAAAAACCAAAAACCATCGCTGTTACAGCACTGCCCACAACGTGTTCGACGAAATGTCTGTGAGAAAATTCAGACTGCGGAACCTGGAGGAAAGGGCGTGTAGCATTGCCCACAGGCGGCGTTGATGAACTCCGGATCATCGGAACATACTAACGACTCGTCTGCGGCAACTCCCCAGTGCAGCGCCACGCATCCTTCTCGGTCCTAGGTAAATCAAATCTCCCTGTCAATATGTTTTAAGCTATATATATTGCCTAGCAAATACCAATTTCCACGAGTATTACATACAAAATGACAGTTTTAGTCAACATGTATAATTTTTACCAATTTTAATCTATGACTATTGTTTTAGTGCCAATTTTCATCTATGATTATTGTTTTAATGCCAAAATTCATCACGCCGATCACTCATCCGTCTTCCTGCCGAAATCTAAAATTTTAAAGGGTATTTTCGGCTTTTTCAACTTAAAATCCCAATTTGAGCATAAGATTTAAGACCTAAGATTGATCTCAACTCGCAGTTCTCTTCCTCATCCTACCTTAATTTGAGGAGGAGAATTGTGAATTAAGATCAATCTTAGGGTTTAAATTCCTTTATTCATGTTTAAATTGCGATCTTAATTTTTTTTTTTTTTTTAAAAAAAAAAGAAGAAAAAGACAAAAATACCCTTAATAATTTCATATTTTGACATATCTAAAACATATGTGGTGACCTGTGTGATAAATTTAAGCAATGAAAACTGGTACTAAAACAATAGTCATTTTACTAATACTCGTGAGACCAAAATTAGTATTTCGGACCAAAATTGGTATTTGCTCCATTGCAAATGGATGATTGTGCCGTTTCTAGGCAAACTGAAAATGGGTACATAGTAAGGGTTGGTAAAAATAAAAAACTTTTCCCACATTTAGTCCCTAAAAATAAAAGTTTGTAGGCAAAGTGAAAATTAAAGCAGTAGAAATGTGCAGAGAGGTGATATGGTGAATTACCCTGGCTAGAAAGAGAGTAGAAGTTTTGGAATCAAAGAGAATGAAAGAGAATTTGCCCTCAAGCTCCTTGATGACCTGATCAGGTGGATAGGGTGCCCTGTCTCTTAGAACCTTGTAAGCTTCCACCATTATCATGGCCTCTGTAGCTTGCCTTGAAAGCCCATAGTATTTCCTCAGGTCACAGATATTGTCCAGTGCCCCAGAAAATATGCAGAAGATATCCTCCATCACAACAATGGACCTGCCACCACTCATCACTCAGTTTACAACCCTTCAAAATATTCTCTCAACTTTGAATTTCTTACCACTTTTAGTATATTCGGCTAATTTTTTAACTAAACATTAATAAAAACCCATATATAGTAAAAATTTTACTTTTTAATCTCCACAATCGAGAGTATTTCATACTCCGTAACTTTTAAGTTAATGATCAGATTATAAACAATTTTAAAATAACTTTTATCTCTCCATTATAGTAAAATTTTCACTTTTAATCCACCCCCGATTGAGAGTATTTCATAATTTTTTTTTTTGAAATATTTCATAACTTTTAAGTTGATGATCAAATTGTAAACAATTTTAAAATGATTTTTATTTCTCGATTATAGTAAAGTTTTCACTTTTAATCTCTCTGGCTGATTGAGAGTATAACATAACTGTTAAGTTGATGATCAAATTGTAAACAATTTTAAAATGATTTTTATCTCTCTATTGTAATAAAATTTTCAGTTTTAATTTCCCTGGCCGTTTGAGAGTATTTTACAATTTTTAAGTTGATGATCAAATTGTAAATAATTTTAAAATGAGTTTTATTTCTCGATTATAGTAAAATTTTCACTTTTAATTTCCCCGATTGATTGAGAGTATTTCATAACTTTTAAGTTGATGATCAAATTGTAAACAATTTTAAAATGAGTTTTATCTCTCGAGTATAGTAAAATTTCTACTTTTAATTTTTTTAGCCGATTAAGAGTATTTCATAACTTTTAAGTTGATGATCAAATTGTAGAAATGATTTTTATCTCTCGATTATAGTAAAATTTTCACTTTTAATCTCCCCCGAAAGTATTTCATAACTTTTAATTTGATAATCAAATTGAAACAATTATAAATTGACTTTTATCTCTAGATTATAGTAAACTTTTAACTTTTTTAATCTCTCCGATGAGAGTATTTCATAACTTTTAAATTTGTAAGCGAGTTTAAAATAACTTTTATGTATTGATTATAATAAAATTTTCACATTCAACTCTTGGATCGAGGGTATTACGAAACCCTTTTAGTCAAAACTAAAGTTGATGAAATTGTAAAAAAAAAATAATAAAATCATAAAATGGAGATCGAGACAAACAATTCAAGTAAAAGAATACTACTATACCTTGGATGTTTAGGGCTTTCACCACCATGAGACAGTCCCAAGAAGTTGTCATTAGCAAGTTTGTAGAGCGTGGAGTCCGGCCACCGTGACCGGAAGCTCGCCGCGATCTCCTCCCGGGAATTACACTCCCGCCGCTGCCCCGCATCCGTGAGGTTGAGCTCCGGCGGCGGCTTCCCAATGCACTGCTCGAAAACGGCCAACATCCTCCACGACCAAATTAATTAACCTCAAGATTCCCGAAGTGTACTATGAGGCCGGTATGGAGGCTTTGGGTCGTCACTCGTCAGTGCTTTAATAATGCTCTTATCCATACGATGGCGAGTCTGCTGAAGCTGAAGATGATAAAGGACACAAAGATGAGGTGGCGCAGCCTACGTGTCGGATTTCTGGCTAGTTGGCCGATGTTACGTGTCCAAATACTCAGTTGGAAATAGATGTGCGGATAAAAGCCCATAATTATGTCTTTTTTTTTTTTTTTTAATTTCTTGTGGACAAACTTTTCTGGTCTCCGGGGCCCCACATACACTTTACGATAGTTGAGTAGTAAATTACGGTGATTTAATGATATATTAGGTGGAAGGACTAAGGATCAGTGTTTGTTTCAACTCAACTCCAAAGGTCCTTTACACTCCGACTTGACATAGCATTTGAGAAGATGTAAATCGTGGTGAAAATTATTGTATGCACCATGATCGATACAGTGTTGTGTAGACCATAACAAAAAGTATATTTTTAATATATTAAAAGTATATTATTCGTATACTAATTATACGTTATACAAAATAATATATTTTTCTTGAATACAATGTACATTTTAATATACTAAAAATACATTATTTGATAGTATGGTCCACACAATAATGATTGATCACTATGACTCAATGGCTTAGCAGACATGGTCAAATGGCAGTGTGCATAAGGGATCTGCCTACTTTGGACATAATTTCCACATTGTCGCTGTTGAGGTTCGAACCTTGGTATCTTCTCACAAATACGATATACTGAATCAGTGAGTTAAACCCGTGCAGACTACTTTTTAATTTCTTTGTGGATAGAGAGGAGAGAACTTCATGACCGTTACTCGAAAGTGTGTATTGAATAAATTTTGTTCCAGTGTAATAACCTACAAATGTAAGACGGATTCAACTAAAAAAAATAATGACAATAATTAAACTTATAAAAATTCGTGACCATTATTCAAAAATGTGTATTATAATTTTCAACCAAGAATTATGTTACACCCATTTAGACCCATTTCCGGGCGAATTATTTGTCTTTTGCCTTTCATATTGATACTTCACGCTTTTCAAGAAGGTAGAATGCGTAATTGGATTATTCCTCCATTGGCCTTTATCCCCTTTTTTGGAACGTTACAAATGCAATAATTTGAGTACACGTAATCCCTATAGGATACCGTATGCGTTATTTTTTCAGTATCGCGTGTAAAAATATCATATACTAAAAACAATTTTAAAAAAAAAACGAGATATTTTTTATTTTATTGAAAATTGACACTTTTGAACCCCCAAATTATATTGATATAGACCATATTTGATAACATAGTTAATTTATCAATTAATTTTTGTTTATTTGACCAGACTTTGTTAAATTAACAGTTAATATAATTGTTTGATTAATTAGTTTTTTTTTTAACGGCTTATTGTTCCGAAACGTTAAAATTCAAAAAGTTGTTCAAAGTAGCTTTTGATAAAGTCATTTTGCATGTAATAAGCTAACAGATATTTACCAAACACACCCTATAGTATTTTTTTTTACCTTTAATTATAGACACCATACATTTTCTCTTTATGTTATCCTCAAAGTGATTAATTTATCCTTCATAGAATGTAATATTTTTCACCTTATGGTCTATCAAAAATGCTAACTATTATAACCGTTACAAAACCACTCTAATAAGATCTTCAAACAATAAATGTTACAAATCCTTTGGCGGGATCTAAAAAACATGGAGCGCACGTCGGGAACATCAAGACTGGACGCCATCTAGTTAGCACATCGATTTGCATCTCTATGCACATGTTGAACCATGCAAATTCAGTCACACTCACATAAAATGTATAACTAACATAATGTATTTTGATGAGAATATTTCAAAAACTTCCAAAAAAAAAAAAAAAACATATTTTATTCCATGCATTTTTTTTTTGACCAATTATTCCATGCATTTTTTTTAATGTTATTGGCTCTACTACAATGTAATATCTGTTCATATACTTTCTCAACCTACTGAAACACAAAGAATCAATAACACCTCCAATTATTCCATACATTTTTATTTTTGACCAATTATTCCATGCATTTAAATTAAGTAAAATTTGAATAAAGAATTTGTCATTTGGACTAATTACACTTGTTAATTAAATCATTTTCAACAACCATTCATCCAAGGTATTAAGATAAGATTTTTGTGGGACCATTAGAAGGTTCTTTTCATTTAATTTCTTTTTAATTTTTGTCTTTTCTTATTGGCTGCTTGACTGACCCTTCTCAAACAAGATAATGAAAAAGAAATGCAATGAAAATGACATTAACTTAATGACGTTTAGCGTCACTAATGATATAATAATTACTAGTTAGTTGGCATACATAAATTATAAAATTATTAAAACAAGTATATATCAACTACCACATTACCTAGTATAAGTCAAAAATGTTATGCTAAGCTATTTAAAACCCTTTTTTATTTATTTATTTATGATAACAATTAGACATATCAATAAAGATTGAGTTGAATTCAATATATTATATATATACTTCTCGTCATAATAGTGAATGTGTAATAAGCCACAACTAAAAATGTATACGTGTTTAGAACTATATTTTAAAAGTGCATCATGCAACATTAACTAGTGCAATCACAGATACATTACACCATTATATATATCAGTAATTACACTTAATAATTGTTGCACGATGCACTTTAAGTTTGAAATATTTATCAAAATGTCATTACATCTCTTTCTTACTTTACTCCTACGATTGATCATCCCAAATCAATGGTTAGAATTGGTTTGCAATTATTATCTAATCTTTGCTTCTCATTTGATCCTCTATAGTGCGTGTGTGCCCGCAGGCCGCTTTGCAATATATTTTCTTAAAATATGCATAAATATTACTCATACATTAGTTTCTGTTTAAGATGTCTTTTTGAACTCTTAAATTAGAAAAACGATTCTAAAACGTTATACAGAGTTTCAAGAGAAAACGTTTCCCAGCACATTATAGATAAGAATTGAAGAAAACTAGGGGCAGAAGCAGTTAACAGCCATAAACCACCTGCTTAAAAGTCTTTTGAGTAATTACAATCATCAGATTTATGTACACACTTGAGCCATCACTAGAAAACAAAAGTGTTTTGTGGAATGGGGAGAAGAAAATGGAATACCCACAGAACACAAATCTTCAAGAAAGCAGTTTTAACCAGATGAGATATGTGCAGATTTCTAGCCCACCATGTACTGTGAAAGAGTCATATACACAGCTTAGAATGAGATTTACGAGAAGATTTGTCGTTTTAGTCTGCTCTGATCGGGTTTATTTTGCTAGAATGGGTACGCCGCAGGCATCATGGGCATGTTTTCCCTCTTTAAAAGCGAGGTTTCCTCTTATGAATGTTGCTAAAACTTTCCCAGAGAGTCTTGTTCCCAGATATGCAGAAATGCTCTGCATGGTTGATCAAAAACAAGAGTCACTCAGGCTTTAGGTTCAAGAAATGGTTATTGTCTAATATATGGTATGATAAGATGTTAGATAGCAGCTCAAGTGGAAGGGGTCCGAGTCGATTAAGTATAGAGTTTGGTTTGGGGAGACCTGAACGGGACTGATGGAGACTCGACTGGATTAGTCTCATCCCGTAGAGTATGCAAAAATGTTAGGTAGCACATAAATGGGGATGGGAACATACGAAAACGCTCCCTCTTAAGAGTTTCAGTGCGTCATAGATAGCAACGTGAGGAATACGTACACGATGCTTAAGGTAGACGGGATGATTATCGTCCAAGTCGAACTCTGCTTCTGGTTGCCAGACCACAATATCAGCATGGTTGCCAGTAACAATTGCTCCCTGCAAACACCCAAGGATTAATTTTAGATTTACAGGAAAACCATCAGCCACAACTCGAAAGTGCATTCTAGGTGAAGCCTAGCCTACAAAGCCTGTCCTGTGACCCTAGCCGGCAAAGGACCACAAGGAGGTAAACCAGCCTAGATTGCCTATAGTTAACCGGCTAAAACCAAGAAGGTCAATAGGCAAATTCCCACAGAGAGTCGAACATAGAACTTATGGTTACCAAGCCAACTGCCCGACCAACTCGACTGGGGTTGTCCCACCCAAGGATTAATCTGTATCTATATGTGATAATGCAGCACAGTTACTTCCACAACTGAAAAATATGAATTGATAAGAAGCAAAACCTTTGAATTTAGACCAGCAAGCTTAGCAGGCTTCTCACTCCACCATGAAACCATCTGTTCAAATGTAACTCCATATTTCTGCCCATATGACCAGGTTACAGGGAGAACAAACTGCACATGAACATAAAGACAGCAGCCTCAGTTTCTAAAAATAAGTAAACCAAGATCATTCTAACTAGACTACAAGATATAGTTTCCATATTATTTTTGTTGAAAATAAAGAGTTAGTTTTATCTATAGGGTTGTGTCTGTTTATGAATAGGTGTAAGTTATGGGTAGTTATTTACGGTTATGTCTTTGTATATATATATGTACTGTGTTTCTATATTAGAAACAAGGAAGACTAATATAATTTCAGTCTTATATTCATTTCCTAGTCTTGATTCTTCATATTGCTTCCGCCAGTTTGGCGGGTGGTGTTATTCTCCACCCGCCAGGCCATTCCATCTTCCAAATTCAACAATTTTAACTTCATTTTTGCTTAGTTCATCTGATTTATAGCTATTTCGCTTCTGGTCCCACGAGTTTAGTGGTATTCTCGCTATTAGTCCATGACTATATATCACTATAGGTGCAGGATTTTTGTTTTCTTTCCCACGTTTAGTCCTAAAAAGATGTGATTGCCCAGAAACTATCACTAATTAGAGAATGTGAAGACCTGCAAAGAGGATATGCCACCCCAGGCTTTCAAGAAATCGCCCTCGGTGAAGAGCTTAAGCTCTGGGGCCGAAGGCGAGTGGTCAGAGCTCAACATGTCTATATTTCCATCCTGAAACAACATATGGAGGATGGAGCATCAGGTAAGAACTGATCTGGAAAAAACGAAACTGTTAATAACATCAGAGCAGCTTGTAATTCTTCTCTGTTGGCTGTTATATCGGGAGCAGAAAGTACCATTATAGCAGCCCATAGTTCCTCCCTATTGGCTGCATCGCGTATAGGTGGAGCACACTTGAAACGCGTATCGCCATCAGGGATCTCTTCGGCTGCAAAAGCCAGATAATGCGGGCAGGTTTCAACTGTAACGCTATCGCCACTCCTTTTTGCTTCCTGTGTAAAATATGTGTTAAGAGTCCTACATTGAAAATATAAGAGAGAACATGTGGGTTTATAAGGCCATGGGTTAGACTAGCTGATTGATTCAGTCTATTAGATTGTAACATGGTATCAGAGCTTGTTCAGTCCACTTTAGAGGAGATCATAACAATATGAATGTATGTTGTAACCAAATCGCCCGAGAAATAGACTCAAAGAGCTTCATTTATACAGTTGATGATGGCTAGTCAGTTTTGGGTGGCGATATAGAGTGGTTTATACACGAAAGATGGAAAGAAAAAGCTTCGAATACCTTAATAAGTTCTAAAGAAGACCTTGCATCAGATAAATGGACAATATGGAGATGAGCTCCCTCAGCTGAACCGCCAGATCGAGTGTCTTTTGTTACACTCACGAGCTCTCTAATCGCGGCTTCTTCCCTATAGAAGAGCAGAGAAATATTGCTGAATGTATCAAGCATTAATAAAGAAACTAGCACAAAAAGGTATGTTTTCGACACTATTAAGAGTCCCACGTTGAAAATATAAGAGAGAACATATGGGTTTATAAGGTCATGTGTAAGACTAGCAGATTGATTGAATTCAATCTTTTAGCGTGGTGTGGTTATCCCGCCTTACCATGATGCAGGTCTTCTCTTAAGATACGTCGAGTAAGATCTAGCGCTCTCAGCCCCGCCATCTTCCAGATCCGATTCATTCTCGGGCTCCTGCTCCATCTCCGCATGTACAAGTAGAGGTCTTCTGTACTTTGCCAGGACAGCCAGTCCTTCCTGTATTAACACGAAAAGTCGATTTCTAAGGTCTCAAACCACTCAGCCAGAAACGATAAGTTTTTCATAGCAATGAATGAACCGTCGTGGTTCAACCAAATCGCAGGAAAGTTCGAAAATATCACAGAAAGAGCTCTTAGTGGGAAGTAAAATCTGCATATATACCTTAATGTGGGATGAATTTGTCATAGGAAAGTCATTGATCCCCGAAGGACACATGAATGACTGCAAATAAAGAACAGAAAGTTCACACAAAAACTCCCCGTAAAATGGGAAAACATAATAGTTCAACCAGAGAAACTCGAAAGATCAGGAAAAAAAAAAAAAAAAAAAGTGTCTATCTACCTTCAACCCGAGGGCTCCAGCATTTAGGAGACGCTGCAAAGCACTTGCATTGAACGCATTTTCTGGAACCAAACCTCCCCAGAAACCTGTTCAATTTCGAAGCTATACGTAAATAACAATAGTATTACAGTGTATACTGAAGTTTATATATCACATGAAGCATACCAACATCAACATAGATTCTCCCTTCAGCAGCCTCAATCTGTAGTCCACATGACCCGAAAAAACATCAGCAAGGAAAAAGCAAATCGAGAAAACTAAGGGGTACAGTACAATCTGTTATCAAAATTTCCCGGGAGTTAATTATCAAAACGATTCATGTGCCAATGAGCAAGACAGACCTTAAGGTTCAAGGTTTCTTCGGAAACTGTTGATGGGAAACTGTTAAGAGGCATGTCAATCAACGTCGTTACACCACCTGTAAGAGGAAACGGGGAATAGAAACTAGAAAGTAAGAAATGAACATTTGTTCGAATACATAATCAAAGGTTTAGACATACATAAAACACTTGTACAAATGGTAAATAATAGGATCTATGGAAACCGGGAGGGTGCAGAACTTAAAATCAGCAAGTACACTAGGCCCCCGGTTTCATGGATACTCCATACTAAAACATAAAAACGAAAGAAAACAATGTAGATGCTAATGGCTGAGATCTACATACCAGCAGCAGCCGCTTTTGTCCCGGAGGGAAATCCTTCCCATTCTGTTCTCCCGGGATCATCTAGATGCGCGTGTCTGTCATGAATGTTCCATGAAAGAACTTTTTCAAACAAAAAAAAAAAAAAAAAAAATCTGAAGATAAGAACGTGTGAAAAGGAATTTGGGAAAGCAATCTTACACGTCAATCAAACCAGGCATAACGACAGCCTCCCCATAATCCATTACTCGTCCACTCTTAACAGTTCCTCGCCAATTATCTCCATCGACCACAGATACAATGCTCCCTCCCTTCACCTCAACTGTTAATTTTAACATTCAGATAATCATACCTACCAACTACCGGTTTCCCTAATACCTCATAAAGGAGAAGTCTTTTTTGGAAAATGAACTCGATTTTGTGAAAAAACAAACCTGCACCAGATATAACCCCTTTTGGCGTCACAATGCGTTTGCTGGCTATCCAGAAATGGCTATGAGAAATGAGACTGCACTGGCTCGTGGAGGGCTGCACATTGCGTTTAAAGAAATCTTCAATTTACCACGAGTTATATCTAAGAACTGCTAATAACGGAACATGAATCTTGCTATATTTGTGTTTTCCAACTGGACATAAATGTCAACTGCAAAAACTTAGGACACAAAACAATGACTAAACAACAGAAACTGAGGTGTGTTCATTTCCAAGAGCACAAATAAAACGGAACTCTTAACAGCAGACAACAGTCAAATTTGTTGAGAAATAAGCTATGCTCTATAGTTTTCTACCCAAACATATATGGAACTGGTTAAGTTTTAAAGGCAATCCCTTTATCATTCTCATTTTCTTGTGGAAGGGGTGGATAGTTTTAGATGGTTATACATAAACATATGAACAAAGTTTACACTAGAAACCCACTAAACCAATATTCATATATTGAGGCATGAACTTATAACGTGGGGCTCGTTTTATGTGTCTACGTCAGATAATTATTCGTCACGAAATTTCAATTCCATCCCAATTTTTTGATAATCTATGCTCACACTCCCATGTGAGTTACCAATGGTTTGTCACACTCGGCCTACACAAAAAGGCCATTTGGTACTACCGCCAAAAAATGATAATAACTTCTTCAGAAAAGTTACAACTTCCTGACTACCAAACGGAATCAAATAATGATTTGTCACACCCAACTTACCCAAAGAGACCCTTTGGTACTATGCCAAACATGGTGATAACTTCTTCACCTTTTAAATTGATTGAAAAGTTAGAATTTTCCTGACTATCAAACAGAATCAAATAATGATTTGTCACACTTGTCCTACACAAGAGGCCATATGATACTACGCCAAACATAGTAATAACTAATAACTTCTTCACCTTTTAAATCACCAAAAAAGTTAAATTTTTCTGACTACCAAACAGAATCAAATAATGATTTGTCACACACAAGGAGACCATATGGTACTAAGCCAAACGTCGTAATAACTTCTTCACCTTTTAAATCACCAAAAAAGTTAAACTTCCCCGACTACCAAACAGAATCAAATAATGATTTGTCACACATGTCTTATACAATGAGGCCATATGGTACTATGCCAAACATGATAATAACTTCTTCGCCTTATAAATCACCAAAATGGTTAAACTTTCCTGACTACCAAACAGAATCAAATAATGATTTGTCACACCCGTACTACACAAAGAGAACATAACTTTTTCACCTTTTAAAATAGCCAGAAAAGTTAAAACTTTCCTTACTATCAAACAGAACCAAATCATGATCTGTTGTTGTTGTTGTGAGAAACATCATCTAATAACATCAATCCAATCGAAAAAGGCTATGGATGCACAGTTATTTATGTTGGGGAATGACAAGAAAAAAGTGACAGAATATGAAATCGCAGAGAAGTGGGAATCGCCAAACCTTCGTAGAGATGTCGAAATAGAAGAACAGAAACGAGAGAAGCAGCGGTAGCAGACCTAACAGTGTCCGCCATTTCCCAGACTCCATAGCTGTGCTTCTTCGCTCCTTCTTCCACAAACCTCTCTTCTTCTTCCTCCAATGTCAGCCACCCAATACAACGCCAAACTGCCCGTCCGTGTCAATACGTACATATATAGTAGTATAATATAAATATAAAAAAGCAATGAACCAATTGTAACAGATTGGAGTTTGTGGGTCCCGCGAAGAGTGACCGGAGCGAGTAGAGTATGATTTTAGTAAATTCAATTTTGGCCAATACTCACATATGGGCATTTGGTAAATAATTGTTAACTGATTGGATTAAATAGTTTGACTAGTTGATTGTAGAAATATGTTTGCTAAATTAGCTATTAGTTGATCGCTTATTATATGCAAAATGACTTTGTCAAAAAAACTGCTTTGAGCGGCTTTTTAAAATTTACCGTTTTGGGGTAATAAGTTGTTACAAAAAGTTAATTAATCAAACACTCGTATTGACTGTTTAATCAAGACAAACATTTAGTAGTAGTCAAACAAGCCAAAATTAACTGATAAACTATGTTACCAAACAAGGTCATAGTCCAGTCTATTCGAATCTTTTTAATGAAGTTAAACTCTATATAATTTACGAACTATTATATTTAAATAGAATTTGTTAATATATACTATCGAATAATGATTGTGTATTTTCCTCCGCACTTTAAAAAAAAAAAAAAAAAAAGTTTGTGGGCCCTTAGAATGATACAGAACAAGAATCTTTATTTAATATTTATTATTTATTTACTTTTATTGGAGAGTGCAAGAATATTCGATGTTTTAGCGGTCCAAATTGTAGAAAGTGGTGCACTGGATAAGGAATCCTACCGAATCCACCAATGTCACGTCAATATTCAGACCAGCTGTTCAGCCAACCCAGGAGTACCACATAATAATAATAATAATAATAATAATAATAATAATAATATTATTATTATTATTATTATTATTATTATTATTATTATTTAGCGCAAATTCCTACAATATTAATATAATATATTCGAGGTAAACCAACATAGGTTAAATTGTTCTTGTTATGAGTTAAATTTGTAATCATGTGATTACCAAGTCAATAATTTGACGAACATTGTTGGAGCCATCTTTTAGGTACCAAATTATTGAGCTACCTGAATATGAGCTCTGAGTGAAACTAGTGAACTTGATAAACTATCCAATCAACTTAATTGAGATTATATTTTTAAAAAATTATCTTATATAATAATCATTCTTATATCGAGACGCAACTCAACTTATATGACTAATCTAAAATAAGTCGATAGTTGTCATGCGGGACTAACAGGGTCGGTTTTTTGCCCGTGCATAATGGCCAACAGCACAAGACTTCAATTTTAAAGGACCCAATATCTATTTTTGACCTACCTACTTAAGAAATTAAAAAAAAAAAAAAAATCTGCAATTAAGCCCACATTCCTTCATGTCTCTTTCTATCTTGTATAAAACTCATCAGTTTTTTTTTTTTTCCAAATCACGCGCAATCATTAAAGATTGGGAGAAGATTTTTTCTTCCTCCATTAATTTTACAACTTTCCTCTAAGTTTCTTTGATTACCAAAGTTGCAATTCAATTTTCATGTATCTCTCCTAATTAATTGAGGATGATTATGGCAAAATCGTTCAAAACCTTTATATCAAAAATAAATAATATATAAATAAAAATTATATATTTTACTGTATTGATTTTAAAGGTTGATTTATACTTTTGGTATGGTCTCATTTATTTACAAAAAAGGGGTCACAAAAATTCAAAAGATGACCTTAAGAACTAGCTTAATTAATTCAACGGATCACCCTAAAGTTTTGCTCTAGTTTATAGTGTGGCGTTCAAATATTAAGAGATATTGACAAAAAATGTTTTTTAAAAAAAATTGGGTTAGACCGTTAGACCATGAGGTGTTTTGAGCGGGCCCTAACTGTAAATTTGGATTTGACCGTTAAACTATGTGGTATTAAAAAAAGTTGGTAAGTATGTACTATACGCAGACTAATCCATATTCACACTGGGTCATACAAGAATAGGTTCAAACTCCCAACCTTTTTTAAAAAAGGAATAAGGTTCAAATTGGCCACTGAACGTAACCTGAAAATGCAATTAGGCCACTGAACGAAAAAAAAAAGTGCAATTAGGCCATTGAACACTCCAAAAATGTGCAATTTCACCTGATAGCAGGTTACCCTCAATTTTAGCAGGTTATCTGCTTACGTGGCAGCTGAGTTGGCATTTTTAATAAATTTTAAATCATTTTTAATAAATTTTAATAATAAATTTTTATTTAAAAAAAATTTATGACTTTATTTTATTTTTTATTTATTTTTTTTTTCAATTTTTTATAAAATTTATTATTAAAAATTATTAAAAATGCCAACTCAGCTGCCACGTAAGCAGGTAACTTGCTAAAATTGATGGTAACCTGCTATCCGATGAAATTGCATACGTTTGGAGAGTTCAGTGGCCTAATTGCATGTTTTTGGAGTGTTCAGTGGCCTAATTGCACTTTTTGTTCGTTCAGTGGCCTAATTGCATTTTCAAGTTACGTTCAGTGGCCAATTTAAACCTTATTCCTTTAAAAAATAAGAATGTATGATCACTCACGCCAATCAAACTGGTCACAAAATTTAAATATTAATCTAACATAAACTAATAAATTTAATGTATGAAAAGAAAAATGGGTAGTTTTGTCTTATTAGTTGTCGGTAGGGTGTAAAAGATTCTAACGGATGACGTTATACGAGACCATTTGGAAAGTGAAGCACTGAGGCTGCTGCTGCAACATCACGACAAGACTTTATTATGATGCATATATATATGGGTTGGCAGTGATGGTACGTGACAAGATTCTTCCCTACATATTGTGGAATCTGAATCACTTTTCTCTAGAATATCATTATGTAATCTACTCTCAAATTTTATTTTTTCTTACAAATTTTAGATTTTAGAGGTAGACAACTTTTTTGAACCCATAAAATGAAAACGTCCTATTCATAGTTGCTATATCATAAAATATAACTACGTTGGGTTGGGCTTCTCTCATATGTAATAAATAGCCCAGTTTAGACCAAGCACATTTGTATACGGAACGTTATGCTATGCAACCATGTGCACCATGCAAGGTGTACACGGCTCCAATTCATAATTTCTATATTATAGATTTATAATTTCTATACTAAAGATTCATAATTTGAGAAAATTTCAATTTTGGTCACACGACTATAGGGGCTTTGTTAATTTTAGCACATAACTTTCAAAAATGTCAATTTAGTACCTTGAGTATGTAATTTTTGTCAATTTTGGTCACTCCGGCCAAATTGCCGGTCAAATTTGACCGGAAAAATTTAATCCAACATTTAGTCTAAAATCTAAGGGGCAAAATAGTCTTTTCTATCCTTTCTCCTTTTAGCTTTCCTCCCAACGTGTTCACCTCCATTTTCACACGAACGAAGGAAATGGAGACACCAGTTATGCTAACAACTTCATGGCTCAGGTGCCTGCGCTTTGCATTCTAAATTCAATTACTACGTAGTTTTTTTCGTTAATTTTTTGGAAAAAATAAAGTTAATTTTATGGTTTATATGAACAGAAAAATGCGATACTTCGTACAAAGCCCACAAGAAAACAAGCCATAACAGATCTCTATAACAGCCTTTGCCCAGAAACCATATCCTTTACTTCTTCGAATGGAGACTTTAGCTACTTCAACGTGTTCACCTTCCTTCGTTTGTGTTCGCTTCTTACGTTTTAGGGTTGCGAAATTAGGAATAGGAGAAAGGATAGAAAAGACCATTTTGTCCCTTAGATTTTAGACTAAATGTTGGATTAAATTTTTCCGGTCAAATTTGGCCGACAATTTGGCCGGAGTGATCAAAATTGACAAAAATTACATACTCAAGGTATTAAATTGACACTTTTGAAAGATAGGTGCTGAAATTAACAAAGCCCCTGGTGTGACCAAAATTGAAATTTTCTCTTCATAATTTCTATACTGTAGATTCATAAAGGCCCTGTTTGGTAAAAAATTGGCCTATAGACCAATTTTGACTTATTTGACCACTATTAATTGTTTGAGTTAGTTAAAATATCAATATAAATGTTTGGTTAATTAGTTTTTTGCAACTCCAAAAGGCTAAAATTCAAAAAGCTACTCCAAGCAACTTTTTCAATTAGTTTTTTGAGAAAAGAAAATATACCAAACAGCTATCAGCTAACAGCTAATTTACCAAACAATTTTCTACAATCAGCTAATGTTATCAACTATTTATACCCTCTAATTAACACAATCAACTAACAACTAACAGCTATCAGCTAACAGCCATTTTACCAAACAGGGCCAAAATCTATACTGTAGATTCATAATTTCTAAACCATAGATTCATAATTTAAATACTGTAGATTCATAAAATCTATACAGTAGATTCATAATTTATATACTGCATATTCATAATATCCGTACTGTAAATTCATAATCTCTGTATTGTAGATTCATAATTTCGAAACTGTATAGTTATCAAATTATGAACATATAGTTCTGTGATTTGTGAATACAGAGTTTAACAATTGGAAATATGAACATCGAAAATTATGAACATAGAGTTCTGTAATTGTGAATATAGAGTTCAATAATTATGAATATGAAGTTCAAAAATTATGAATATATAAATTTATAAGTATGAACATATAGTTCAGTAATTATGAGCATAGAACAGTGTGCACAATGCATGATGCACACGGTTGCACAGCATAATTTGCCCTATAATACATGTATCAATTTTAGTCCTTGACTATTAAAATTTTCAAATTAGGTGCACGACTATCCAATTTGTATCACATTTGAACCCCTATATTATGAATCTACTGTATTTAAATTATGAATCTACGATTTAGAAATTATGAATCTACAGTATAAATTTTATAAATCTACAATATAGAAATTATGAATCTATAGTATAGAAATTATGAATTGGAACCGTGTGCACCTTGCATGGTGCACACGGTTACACAGTATAACATGTCGTATACAAATGTGCTTGGTCTAAACTGGGTTATTTACTATATAGGAGAGAAGCCCAACCCAACACGATTAAATTATGAATCTACGGTATTTGAATCTATATAGTATAGAAAATGTGTCAATGTAGATTGTGTATCAATATATTTTCTCTTGTCCCTTTATTATCATTATTATTATTGTGTTATACGTTAAATTTTTTAATTTTATCATATTATATTTTAAACTCGTGGAGTCAACACTTTAGTTCATGATGAGATAAACTGAGATAATTTATTTTTTAAGACTCAACAATAACTATATATTTTTGCGCATAATGAATCTAGCCCAAATCTAAACTACTCATGTCTGTAGCAAAGATGAAACCCACCACACTAAACTAAGTCTTAAGTGAGATATCTATTGTATCTTTATTTAATAGAATCATGGTTACTATAAAAATAATTCAACAATCATGACTTTGATACGTTCATAGCAAACCCTATGCCCATATAATGCTTCCACTAGCAAAAGCCAAATAAGAATAATGCACCTCTTCCCTTCTCCTTCACTTTGTTGGCAGAAACCAAAAGAAAAATGCTCATCTAGTCATCTTCTCCACTTTTAAGTAGGGATGTTAATCTTAGTTCGAAATCAAAGTCTGAGCTTTGATAAGACTGAAAAGTATAAAGGTTTGTGTCAAAGAAATTTAAACTAATAAGTCTGATTGTCTAAACGGGCTAGCCCAAATTTAATAAGATAGCATGATAGCCTGAGTCATTTAAGGCAATCGTTATTCTGTGGAACCGTGTCCACCTTGCAAGGTGGATACGGTTCTATATATTCATAATTATTGAACTATATGTTCATAATTATAAAACTATATATTCATAATTTTTTAACTTCATATTCATAATTATTGAACTCTATATTTACAATTACAGAACTTTATATTCATAATTACTGAACTATATGTTCATAATTATAAAGTTATATATTCATAATTTTTTAACTTCATATTCACAACTATTGAATCTCTATATACATAATTATGTTCACAACTCTATGTTCATAATTATAGAATTATATGTTCATAATTTTTGAACTATATATTCATAATTATGAACAGTTTTGGAACACGATTTCACAACATAATTTGCCCTTTTAAGGGGCAAATTATTATGTGGACCGCGTCTAAAAATTCACAATTTATATACTGAATGTTAACAATTTACATACTGAATATTCACAATTTTTATATATTAAATGTTCACAATTTATATACTGAATATTCACAATTTACATACTTAATGTTCATCATTTACATACTGAATATTCATATTGAATTTATATGTAAGTTGATATCTAGTTTTTTTTTTTTTAATTATAAATAAAATTTTAATAAATTTATTACAAAATAAATATTTTTATGAAAATAAATAACGAAAATAACAAAATATTATAATTATTATGAAGTATATTATAGTGTAAATATATTAATTATTTGTAGTTAGAATTTGGAAATGGAGGTTAGATTGATGGAATAATGTATAAGTTTATATTTATTATTAATTAATGTAAATGCGCAAATATATTAAAATTAAAGTTTAAAATTTTAATTTGAAAATTTAAAACTTTTAGTTCAACCCGCTTGATAAATCCGATTGTTCGAGATTTTAGAATTAGCGTCAAGCTAAGAATTTTAAATCTGACAAAAAATATTGATAAGAATAACCAGAAAGCAAACAAGCGTATCCCATCTTCCAAGTTGGGAATAATAAAAGTAAATAAAGAGGACGCATGAATCCCGAAGAGAAAAAGATTTGTCTCTGTACGCTATCAAGAGCACGCCAATTGCTGCAGATGCAGTTGGAATTTTCATAGAGACAATCAACTCCATCCATTATATACTCATATTATCTACTTCCAACTTTTATGGTCACATTTAAAATGTTGATATAGATACATTTACAGGACTCACATGAAAAAAATAATTTATCAATGTCCGTCACATCAGGGTGTTAATTTGAGGGGGTAAGATTTAGAGTACATGCAATAGAATTATAACTTTTGGATGATTTCACTGGCCTAGGATATAGGTTTTGGTTTTCATGAATTTTTAAATGGAAAATACTATATGAACTCCAACTTCTTACTCTCAACTCCTATTCCTTCTCACAAATATTTTATGTAACACTTTTCCTATCCTGGGCCCATATAATGAAAATATTATATCCTTATTTACCACGTTATCATGGATTAAAAGTGATTGAGTAGAATTTGACATATCGTAGAACTCTTTCCATAGGAGTTGCATAATCTGACTGTGTTTGGAACCAGGAAAATAATTTCTGAAAATCATTTTTCGGAATTGAAAAATTCAGTCAACGGAAAACACTGGGGAATATCTAGTCATTTTTCCGCAACACTGAACAAGGTTTATGGCGGCAACCCTAAGTCTGGGGTCTGGGGGAAACTCTAAGTCTGGTGTTTGGCGAAAACCAAGTCTGATTTCTGGCGAAAACTATAAGTTTAAGTCTGGTTTATGGCGAAAACTATATTTTTTTTATAAAAAAAATTGATAAATAATATTATTTTAAATATTTTTATATTCTAAATAAAATATTTAAAATGTTTAATTATACAATTTTACACATTTTTCAAAAAAATGAACCAAACACACAAAAATAATTTTTTGTTGTGCAGCCAAACATAAAAAAAAAAAATAAAAAATATATATATTTTTAAAAATGACTCATTTTCTAGAAGTTATTTTCATACTTTCTAAACAGACCCTTTGTTGTAGTTAGAGACAAGCACATTTCGGGTTCAAACCAAATCATGTAAGGTAAAAATAAAATCAAAATATTCTAGTTCCAATTTTATAATATCATATTGATTCTGGTTTCAAATTGAAAAATAAATAAATAAATAAATAAATAAATAACAATTTAAAGTTTAACTATTATTTTCAATGATTTGATTAAAAATTTCATGTAATGTAACATAATTGAGCCAAAAATATTTGAATCCACAAAAATAGCAAATAATTCAATATGTCACTATGAAACATGATTATATATATATAGTTTTTGCCTTCTTGGCTTATGTAGGAACTATAGAATCTCAATCCTTATTTGTCCAGACTTTACAAACCAAAGGATTAAGGAAACAAATTATTTGAGAGAACATAAGACAAATAATAGGGTTCAAACTCACAATCAAATTTTATTTGCTTCATCTCTTCATTTTGGTCATAATTTGGCATACTTCCTGAGATTCGCCGGAGAATCTTTGGCGTTTTCCGGCACCGGCATGTTAACCAAGAGATTGACTCTGGAAGACGATATCTGAACCCTTTTCTCTTCGTTTCCCGGTTCGGTCTTCCAGAGCTTCACTTCCCAGACCTGAATGGTCTTCCCGGCGTTCACCGGCGTGGCCTCGGCGAGCACAAGGTCGCCGGCGCGGGCACTCTTCAGGTGGTGGATGCTGAGGTGGACGCCGGCCACTCGCCGGAACCCGCACGCCACGTTGGCGCCGATGCTCGCCAGCGCCTCCGCTATCAGCGCCGATACCCCGCCGTGCAACACCTTGAACGGCTGGCAGCATTTCTCGGTCACCACCAGCCGGCCGGTGACTTTCTCCGGCGAGACGTCCCCGATCTCGAACCCTATCGTGTGAAGCGGCGCGTCCAATACCGCCGTCTTCGACGGTGATTCCGCCATTTTCTGTCTTCAATCCTAATCCTTGAAAGTGGGAGATTTCTTGGGATTTTCTTCCCTGATTTTTGAGCAACCAAATCTTGAAAAAACGATTTGGTGATCAGTGCAGTATGAACGGGGTAGGTGACATGAGTGGACCACGACGGGGCAAAATCTATTGGAGCTTACCGTTTCATTTACTGCGTATCTGATTATGGGCCATGTTTTGTTAGAAACTAGGGTTAAGTCCATCTTATCACGAAATTGATAGATTACGCAAATTATGCCGTGCAAACCGTGTGCAAATTATGTGTGATGCACACGGTTGTAAAACAACGTCGTTTTGATTAAAAATTACACGTTCAATTGTTTTAAAAAAAATATTTTTGATTGTCGTTAACGGTGTTATGTTGTGCATAATTTGAATTATATATCAAGAATTAATGAACTATATATTCATAATTAGTGAACTATATATCCAGAATGAATGAATTATATATCCAGAATGAATTAACTATATATCCATAATGAATTAATTATATATTCAGAATCGATAAGGTCAATTATGAATGTGTAATTATTAATTTCTGAATGTACTATTGTCAAATTATGAATATATAGTTATGTAATTCTAGATATATAGCTATGAAGTTATGGATATATCCTACTGTTTAAATACAAAAGGAAACCACCTAACGCCGTTAACGACAATCCGAACGGATTTTTTTTTAAAAAAAATGGAACGACGTCGTTTTGCAACCGTGTGCACCATGCGTGGTGCACATGGTTGCACATCATAACGATTGGATAGGTTAGGGGTAAGATCTAAAAATTGTTACAGCAAAAAAAAGGACCTAATAAAAAATTAGTCGAATTAATTCAAAATTAAACTATTATGTAGTGTAATGGAATCTCGATTATCGTTCCAAATAAAAAAAAAAGGATAATCATAGACTTTCTCCGATGATGGAGGCTTAAATTCTTTAAATTGAAAATATTTAAAGTGAAATTAATCTTATAACCATCAATAAAATATCATATATCAACTCATTTTGTTGACCAATCCCTTTCATCATCACTTTGATGAGTTGCCAATAGAAGTAATCAAGTAATAGAGATTAATATTTTAGATTGAATATTCATAATTTGGTTAATCGAGGCATCGGTCTAGTGAATGAGAATTTTTACTTAAGACCTACTCCAACTATATTGAAAAAAGTAGAAATGTACAGTTTATGAGCTTGGGGCCGCTCATGAGTTTGCGAACGCGAATTAAATGTGTGCAAACGCAATTAATCGCGTTTGTACACATTTAATTTGCGTTCGCACATACTTAATCTAATCTAGACCATTAAAAAATATTAGATGGATGCACACGATTTGTTCTCATGTTCTCACCTAAGCAATTGTTCTCATATGATCCTATATATATATATATATATATATATATATATATATATATATATATATATATATATATATATATATATATATATATATAATTTGACATTATACAAATCTGGTATTGTACTCTCTCCTCCAATTTAAGGGGGTTTGGTGTACGGTGTACCTATTGGATCACCATTTATATTTTCTACCACATTTTGATTGTACCTAAACCATATGTACAATTATGAATAATAATTCATTCTCACCAAATGAAGAAACTGTTGGTCCAAATAGAGTAATGTAAGAGGTTGAGCTTTAGTGTGTGATAATCTAAACAGTACAATTTATATATTTTTTAAAAATGCATTAACAAGCTATTTGGTTGACTGTAATTGAAATGCAATTATCCCCTAATTCAGAACCTCTCAATTACGTCGTTTGATTGGAGGGAATTGCAATTCACCCTCTATTTGCTGAATAAGAATTCATGACCCCTCCCTATGAATTGTAATTCAGCACCGAACGGAGAGAAGAAGCTATTGTTATGGCATTTTTGCCCTTTTATAATACAAGGTCTCATAAGCTCCCATCCACTCATCTCATTCTCATCTCTCATCAGTACTCTATATTATGACATTCTCATCTTAATAATAATAATAATAATAATAATAATAATAATAATAATAATAATAATAATAATAATAATAATAATATTATTATTATTATTATTATTGTTGTTGTTGTTGTTGTTGTTGTTGTTGTTGTTACATAAAGACATTTCAGTCATTGTATGACTTATTCTCTTTCAATTCCTTGTAATCATATTCCTGCATACCAAACACTGTAATTTGAATTCATATTTTATTCTCACCTTATTCTTTTCCCACCGAATTACAATTCTTTTTCCCCCTAATTCCTTCTTTCCAACTAAACGCCCTGTAAATGTTTGATTGACCTCGTTTGTTCTACAAAAGTATACGGAGCAATTAAGTTCACCAATTAGCTAGGTTTAAGTAGTTAGTGGGGGTGGGGTGGGGGGTGGGGATAAAGGTTTGAAAGCAACCCAAGCTAAAAACATAGTGCTAGATCAATCAACTAAGAGCATCCCCATCAATGCACTTGGTGCGATTTTTAAGAAAACAAGGCTTATGTGGAGGAGGGAGAGCATTTTGGCTTCTCCGGCAAAAACCTTGGTTTTTGCAGGAGAAGAAAAAAAGGCGTAGGAGTGCGCTTGAAGTGTACTGCGCGCCCACTGGGCACTTCAGAGTGGCCGCCATTGTAACACCCCCAATTTTCAAAATCAGATTATTCAAAAATAGACAACATTTCTTATTTAAAAGACGGAATTGAAATGCGAAAGCAAATTCAAACTTTAAAACAAAAGGTGTTATGCCACGCTTGGGCGACCATCTAAACCCAAATACACAGGCTACAAGGTTCTATCTACAAATCCAAAATACTAGTATATCAAAAGACTAGTAGGTAAACAACATAACTAACTAAGAACATAAAATAAGCTAGATAGGTATCTTGCTATTGCGCGCTCAGGGAAAGGCTTCTACTCCATACCTGAAAACACATTTTAAAAGATTAGCGAGAATTGCTAAGTAACCCCACTCCAATATGTAAAACTATATAGATATACTTTTTTATACTCAAAATAGGTTTGAAACTTGGGAATACATATACATCGCTAATCAACTCTATTTTCGTAAAGCATCGGAGATAAGAACAGTTCAGAATCAACTCAAGAGACATAAACAATGAAGTGACTCAATTTCATGGTAAGACGGAGCTCAAAAAACATTATAGAATACAATCATCATAGAACGAGGGATTCCTACAACGAGACTTATTCAATAGGGTAACAATATCAAGATATGGATACCAAGAAAGATAGATCAATTCGCATAATCCAAACATAGTACAATTCACATCATAATCGCATAATCATTATCAAGTCTCAAGTCCTCACGGGGACTGTATCATCTCAAAATATTGCATAATCAATCTCAATAAATCATAACCTCGTGGAATCAGTGTGGATGGCTCTTAGACAACATCAATATCTCAACTCTTAAGTAACCAATAGCCAATGGAAACAGATCTAGAAACTTTAAGTGTATACACCCCCTATTGGGATTTCAAGCCCAACGAGTTAATTACTAGCTCTGACAACCCGGGATACGTTTCTACCAGGTCGCCCACAAATCAATAATCCAAACGGAAACCCGGAGCTTTCCACACTACAGAGTCAGTTCACAATGGTTGATCGGGGCTTTCCACACTACAGACATGTCCAGGGCTTCCCAACCAACAAGACCCATTGCAAATAGAGCCAGAGGCCCGCCAATCTCATATCAATACAAATAAGTCCCAACACTGTCCACTTTTTCAGCATAACAGTCTCAATAAGGTTCCAACTCAACAAAGGAATTCTCACGAAGCAAAGGCAATCAAATGGATTTCAATAGGAAGAATACAACAATGAATAATCTCAAAGCAATAGCTCAATAGCAACGGATTCCAAAGAAGGAAACAGTGAATATCATTGCCTTATTTATTTATTTATTTTATTTAAACATTTATTGAAATACATAAAAATATGTTAAGGATATTAAATCAAAATATCCATTATAATCCAAAATAAATAAATAACTCTCTGTTGAGATTAACAAGAATACGAAATGATGGTGAGGGTGGTGATTCAACACCTTAGGGATACAACCAATATGAGACATACTCATATTCAATTCCTATATGAGATAAACACAACCAATCCTTGTTTTGAATTCTTTCTTGCCTTGAATTTTTGTGGAATCTTTTGGGTTTTGACCAAAAGAAATTGTTCTTGACACTCTTGTCACATTGATGCTCCTTTTTATTGTTTGTTCTAATTCGTCGTACCCAAGCTTCGGGGACGAAGCTTCTTTGAAGGGGGAGAGAATGTGACACCCCGAAATCCAAATTCGATTAAGGGATCAATTAAATAATTAATCCAATTTCAATTGGTAATTTAATTCTTAAAATCTTGGAAATTCAATAGTCGGGGACTAGTAATTGACTAGTCAACCCCAAAGTCAAAGTTGTACCTTGAGCTTTGTAGGGAGTTCCCTTGTTTCCTTACATCCGTTCATGTTAGTAAGGGTATTCTTGACTTTTCACCTTGTGTTAGTATTGTAAGCTAACCTAGTAGAACACCCTAATTTCTCTCCTTACACTTTCCAAATTCTAGCTCCACCTTCTCTCTGAAAAGGTATATAGCTCTTCTTCCAAGCCAAGTGAAGCTTTGTCAAAACTTCAAGAGTTGTCTCTAAGATTCTACCTTTCATACATTTGGGCATCTAGGACGGTAAGATCCATGTTCATCTTGTGTTTTTAGTGTTTTCTAAGGTGTCTTTTCTTAAAGATAGAATCTTTATGATCTTTTGGTGTGTTCTTGAAGTGGGTGTGGAAGGTGAGCTTTGTTAGGAGCTTGGTGAGGTGTTAAGAGAAGGTTTTTGTCTACAAGAGGTAACCCATGCTCTACAAAATCTATTTTGCTTACCTATTTGATGATTTCTTGGATTCTACATGTGATTTTGCTATGAAATGTGAGTGTTGATGCATTGTCTTGTGAAAATGCATATCTAGAGCTTGTTATTAGGGTTTTTGTATGTCATTGCTTGGCTATTCCTTTGACTCAAGTCATTTTGTTGTATTTGGTGAGATTTGACATGTTTTGGACTTGAACTTGAGCTTGGTGTTGAAAATCCCCAAAGGGATTATTTTGGGCACAGGTGTGTATCTGCAGGCAGAACGGTGGGCAGTGGCCTACCCGCCGCCCACCCGCAGGGAACATAAGCCGGTGGGTGTG